TAGTCTACCAAATCACAAGCAGTGGCTGTGATGATTAATGATCTAGCCTATTATAAGTAAAACTAATTGTGTTTTTTTTATGAAACTGATTTGCATATTATGAGTCCAAAGCATACAAAACAACCGACTTTACCAAAAGTCGGATCTGTAAATCATTTCCTAGTTCACCAAAAATCAGCATTCTTGCCAATAAACCAGATCTCACAAATTAAGTAAAATATAGATTAATTAGTTCTAGTTAATTGCTATCCTCTAGCAAATCTATGCTCATGCAAAACCCAGATCTACCTAAAGTTGCAACCCAAATGCATATAGAAATTTTAGGAGTCCAGAACTCGAATCTGTCTAAGATCCGTCAAATCCAAAGTAATAAACCAAGCAATGTCTTCATCTTTCCGTTTAATTAATCTTAGCCAAATAATCTAAGTTAAAAAAAGGCTCACCTACATTAATTTCGGATTAAAAACCTGTGACAAAACAAGAGTAGAGGTCAGATTTGATCAAAGGAATAATAAATCAAAAGTAAAATCACAAAACCTCACCTGTGTGACGTCGTCACACCACCGCCGGCGACCATCTACTCCCTTTTCCCCCTCGTCCAACACCAAAAACCCAAACAAAAATCAAGATTAAAATCACGTCTTGTGTGAAAAAAATTAGATCTAAGCGTGCATGTTTAAGAGAAGCTCACCGAAGAGTTAACCGAGAGTAGAAAGAGGTAGATCGAGAGTCCCTCCTCGGTTTTGGATCGATCTCCAAAAGAAAAACATGAAAAAGGGTTAGAACCTCATTCAAAAACCCAGAAATCAAAAGAAAATAGACTTGCATGCAACGATCTTACCTAGATCGAAGGTCTCCCGCTCGATTTTTAGCGACCTACGTCATATCGAGGAGAGAAAGGGTCGGCGGCTAAAGGAGAAGCTCCGAGGAGTTTCTTCACCCGGGTCATTTTGCTGGCGGCGGCATAGAAAAGCGGCTAGGGTTTTTGCTTTCTGGGATAGAGAAGAAAAGAGCACGAGAGGTAGGAAGAAGAAGAGGGATCGGCGGTTGAGAGGCTAGAGGTGAGAGGAGAGAGCGGCGGCGACGAGGAACCAGATGGATTTTCTGGTTTGGCAAGAGGAAAAGAGGAGAGAGCGGCGGCGGTTGAGAGGCTAGGGTTTGTGTTCTCTGGATGAGGAGAGAGTGACGGCGGCGATGGCTAGAGGAGGGATAAGATTAGGGTTTCGTTTATTTTTTGGAAGAGGAGAAGTTGAGGGTTTTGGTGTGTTTTCTGGAAGAAGGAATCGAGAGAGAGAGGCAAGAATGAGATGGACGAGAGAGAGAGGGCGGCCGCCTCTCTTTAGATTGATTAGGGTTTCTTTAGAGAGTATTTATAACCCATCGATTAAAACGACGAAAATACCCCTAGGGTTTCCCGTTTATTACGTGGACTTGCCACCGCGTTTTCGTGAACTACGAAATTGCCCCTCCCTTTTCTCTGAAACCAAAAAGCGAGGCTGGCGGACTTCGACAACAACATCACTATGCTTGGGAGCATAACCAGTTGGGCTGCTGGCCCATCATCCGTCAATTTAACCATTCCGCTTAATTTTATTCCTTCAAAATCCTTAATACGAAATGTAGAATTGCGGATTAAGTTTACCTCGTTTTTTTCAATACGTCACAATACTTCCTAATAACTAAAATACTCGCATTTATCGTCATAACCTCATGATAATCTAAATGCATTTTTATTATTAACAAAAATTATAATACGAAAATCATGATCAGTGGAACGTGATTACAATTAAATTATCAAAGTTCGAACGAACTACGTGGACTTTGATCCCGTCTAACGGGTACGTAGGCAACCGATAAGGTTCGAGTCCAACTAACCAATTAATTATATCTTTTACGTCAGTGGACGTATAATTTAATTACAACTAACACGATTTAGTTTCTTCAATGGTCCAGTGGGACCCTAAAATTACTAAATTATTACTAAATATACACCCAACTAATATGAAACTTATCGACTTAAGTAGTACCGATTTAGGGCGTTGTGGGGTGTGATTTCACTTCCCCACACGTAACCGTACTCCCGAACCCAGAACTTCATTTTCGCAGACCATATCTCGGTTCTGACCCTAAGGTTAGAGCTGATCCTAAGAGTGTTCGATCCACTCCAAGTAAGATCGATGGCGACTCCCAAAACAGCCGACGCGACGAAATCGGACCCCCTGGAGGGACGGTTGCGACAAAAGAGGCGCTCCACCATGATGCAGGGAATAAAGCATTTCATGCAGAATTCAATTCCCTCAGCTCCAACAGAATGTGGGATCTTGTTCCCTGGTTGCCTCACTACAACGTCATTGGTAATCAGTTGCTCCACCGCATCCAGCTCCTGCCGGATGATAACATCAAGCTCCTGCCGGATGATAACATCAAGTGCTTCATGGCTCGATTGGTCGCTAAAGGGTTTCATCAAAGCTTTGGAGTGGACTTTCATGAAACTTTCAGCCCAATTCTTAAACATGTCATGGTTCGAACTGTCTTCATGACAGCCCTATCTCACAGCTAGCCAATCTATTAGTTCGACGTCAACAATGCCTCTCTACAGGAGCCTCTTCAAGAAGAGGTTTATATTGCGCAACCTCCTGGGTTCCGTGACCCTTAATTCCCTCATCATGTAAATCGCCTACATCAAGCCATCTATGGCTTATGTCAAGCTTCCCACGCCTAGTATGACGAACTCAACTCATTTCTCACTACATCTGGGTTCACCAAGACCCACTTGGATGCTTTCTTGTTTGTGTAACGTTGAGATGGTGTGATGGCTTATTTTTTGAGGTACGTGGATGATCTCCTCCTCACTGGTAACAATCTCGAACTCTTGACTATCACTTTGTGCGTCAGCTAGTCCAAGCCTGCAAGCTTCTTGTGCGCTATCTCCCCACTGCATTGCAACTTGCCGATGTTCTTACTAAGCCATTACAAGCTACACGATATCTTTTGTTACGATCCAAGATTGGGCTCGCTGACGCCACCCCCATATTGCGGGGGCGTATTAAGGATAAATCTATATCCTTGTAGTATTTAGTTTCCTTGTTCATGTATAGTTTATTTTCCTTTTTATATGTGTAAACCTGTATATCTATGGGTATAAATACCCCTTCTATACGTCAATACAAACACAGAGTTCATATTCCTTGCAAGATAGAGGAAGCGGAAGCAGGGTTTGGGAAGCAGCGGGATTGGAGATTGGGATTTCTATGTTCAGCAAGTTAATTTCTCTCTCTGTTGGATAATAGGTATTTGCATGCCTTGACTATTTTCTGCAGTGTTCTTGCCCATAACTGATAGCTTTAAGGCCACAATGGTGTGATATATGGCTGAAAAGAAAGAGAGGAAGAGATGGGAGAGAAGGTGTATGTGATTAGTAGAGGTAAGTTCTCTTAATTTTTAGTTAAGAAACTAAGGGAGAGTGACGTAGAAGAGAGACGGGTGAGGTAAAGGGATTTGAGTAGAGCAGAAAGTAAAAGAATGTGTCCGGGGATAAAAAAAAGAAACGAAGGATAGAAGAGAGATGGGTGAGAGCCAAATCCAAAATGATCGAAATTAGATCATGATAAAGCACCAGAACAGGCCGTAATATAGGCCCATAGCCCATAGCCCATAGGACATCTCTGTCACGTGACAAGGCGACATCACTACCTAGTGTATATATATATATATATATATAGTGGTGTCTTTGGTGCACTCACTTTTTTGGGTGCATTCAGTGCACTCGCTTCATAACCGTCATTTTAAACATGCGATTTATGTTAAAATGATGTCAATATCACTTATGATGTGATGAACAATAGCACACATGAATTTGCACAAAAACCATTAAAGATTTACTTTAATTTGAAGGATTTAGATTTTAGAGATTTAGGGTTAGGGTTTACAATTTGGGGTTTAGGGCTAGAACTCAAAATTGGAGGTCTAGGGCTTAGGATAATCCACTAATTAGTTGTTATCATATGTTATATAATCATATTACACTAATTCTACAAATTAAAATTCAAAATCCGACACCTTATGACTCATTTTTGTGAGTGCACTAAAGTAGTCACCATATATGTATATATGGTGGCTTCTACGGTACCCCGGGTGAAATCCAGGGTAACGCATACATTGAGTATGAAAACACTATCTAGACATCGAATTAGTAGAATTTTTGGGGTCGATACTATACCATAACCCTTAATGAGTGAACCGTAGGTCCTAATTATCTAAATCATTAACTATAAACCCTAAGATGGAGGATTCGTTTTATTGCCTATATTTGGATGAATCATAGCCGTCGATTATTGTTTCTAATTAAATTGATCTTGGGGTATAAGATTTAGAGAACTAGGACCTATATTTTGATCTTTAAAGGTTAGAGTATAGTATCATGTCCAAAAGATCAACCAATTCAAGGTTTGAATAACGTTTTCATACTCAAGGTATGCGGTACCGCGGATTTCACCCGGGGTACCCTAGAACTCGCTAATGACTGGTATACTCCAGAAGTATACCATACTCCATGTGATATGATCGTTAGATCTCCTTTTTTGAGCCCCGACCAATCCCAACGGTCAATTAATATTTTCTATTAAGTTGAACATCGGGTTTGAGTTTAGCGAATAGAGGCCTGGGGTTTATCCATTAGAAGTTAGGGTATAGTATCATGCCCCAAACTCGATTTAATTCTTGATCCATATAGTAATATCTCGTTAAAAATACCAGTTTTACCATATATTTATAGGAACCGGATACATAGGCTAGCTTTACACAAACGACAACAAACTGATTGACCACACTTCTTATTCTTTTCCTTCCGGAAACTTACACAAAGTCCCTTCGGATACATTGAAGAAAAAGGGGGAAAAAATCGAAACTTAACACAACACAACTTATCCCAAAGAACAAGTAAAAGAGAAAAGTAGAACAAAACCAACCAAAGCTTCTTCCACCGATGGTGTCCATTTGATCACATGCTCACTTATTTATTAGTAATTACCATAATCCAAATTACTTACTAACATCCTCCAATTATTATACTAGTCCCATGATCGCCATGAGGATTAGGAGGATGTAATTACGCTCAACCCTTCGCGGCTACCAACATTCGTCATCACCCGACCAACAGCCTCTGAGAAATTAATTTATATGAGGACGACAGCCTCTGGAGGAGGAGGCATGTAGTCACGGAGATCCCACGACCCGTCATCCAGCTGGTACATTGCCTTATTCTTCACGTTCCACCATTTGGGCGGCACGTTGTACTTTTTGTGGAGAAGATCCGCTCCTTTGTTCAGCAACGCGATGTCTCGCTCCACCATGAGCTTAAACGGCATGATTCCGTTCCACCCTGCAACTCCATGCATGTAGAGCTCCAAATTGTGTGGGTTGTCGAGAGGTGATTTACAGTAAGGTGACACAATGACGATGAAAATCTCCTTCCCGACCTCGACGAACCCAAATATCTTGGGCGGGAGGGAGGGGACTGGGTCGAAGAAGTTCCTGACCCGGAGTAGTCGAAGGTCCGCCAGTGCATTGAACATGTTGTAGAAGCCCGAGTCGCCGACATGTGGTGAAGTTTAATTTGATTATTCATTCGACTATGGTTTAGTCTTCCTTTACATAGTAACGGCTTTGTGTGTCCATTTTCAGCTTACTGATGTGTTGTAGCTTTGCAACGCAGTACTCCAATTAATTAGGGCAACAGTCCTTCGGTTGGTAATTTGCATTCATCAAGCATCCTAAAAAAAATTCCCGATAAAATTAGCATCGTCAATTTAAATTGTACTATGCTGGAACCGCGCTTTGCCGCGGGCTACTCAATCATTATATTGTTGTAGTTTTCTGTTGATACTTAATTTCTTTTATGGTGATGTATTTAAGTTGATAATTATTTAATTTTTTTATAGAAAAATGTGTGCATTAGATATGTGTAGACCTAGCCATGAATAATTGTTGAAAGTTCTAACGCGGTGAAAAAGAAAAACTCTGAAGAGAAGCAAAATGAATAAAAACTGGAACTCGCTTAAAATTTTACAACTTTTTTTTTTGTAATAAACAGAGCGCATGGGGCGCTCTAACCCTTAAATATTAATCAAACGGGGGGTTTGAACCCCAATGGTATCGAAATACAGCCAATATCGCAGCATAGGACCCGTGACATCAATTATGTAAATACCAATCAACAAGGTATGGCCAACAGATGCCAAATCCGCCACGAAATTACTTTCGCGGTAAACATGTGTAGAAGCTATCTCCCAGTCTTTCTCCATCAGCGCCCGAATTTTTGCCACCAGCGTGCGATGAGGGTGACCTGGCCTGTCACTTTGCAACCAGCTAATGGTCGTGGATGAGTCGGTCTGCAAAAGCACTTTCCTGAACCCCATTTCCCAGGCAAGTCGCAATCCATGAGCAATACCGGCCAACTCAGCGTGGGTAATTGATCCACCGCTGAGATTAGTTGTGAATGCCTTGAGGAACCTCCCTTCACTGTCACGCAACACTCCATCTGCTGTCGTCCTTCCCTGAGAATTAATAACTGACTCATCTATGTTTAAACAAACCCAATTGCTTGGAGGTTTCTGCCACTTGACAAAGCTCGCGACTTTAGGTGCCTCGCCTCCCATAATAGCCCTGGCGTTATTAATAGCTGCTACAGTCGAGCTGCATAGCTCTTTCACTCCAATACTTAGTTGAATCTCAGTGGCCATCCTTTTCTCGAAAACCCACTCATTCCTATTTTTCCATAATTGCCAACAAATAATAGCGAACATAGTAGAGTCCACCACTTCACTCCGGCCTTCAAGGTAGTGCATTGCCCATCTGTTTAGACTCCCATCAAAGAATACCTCATCCGGCTCACCTGCAAGAAAATCTGCCCACACAAGACGAGCATAGGGACAATCCCTGATGACATGCATCGCCGTTTCAGGACCTCCTCCGCAAGTAGGGCATCAGTCTGAAGTTCCTATGTGGCGTCGACACCGCTCTGCATTGATTAGGAGGCGGCGGTAGAGAACTAACCAGAAAAAAACTTTCAATCTTTGTGGTCCTTGTATGCGCCAAGCTGCTTTCCACATAGGATGTGAATGGTTCTCCTCACCTTCCCCTCTAATAAGTTCATAGGTCGTTTGAAGAGAAAAGCGTCCACATGGTGTGAATCTCCAAAAAGGAGTATCTGGTTCTCCCACACGAGGGACTGGATGTAACTGCAGATGGAGCACGAGCTCTTCGGGGAGAAAAGCCCTGACGTAGTGAACATTCCAGTTCCCATTAGGTACAAGTTCAGCAATGGTGAGCTTCTTAGCCTCGCCAGGCAAATTGACTGTGAAATCAACCAGCGGGGGTCCATCTTGAAGCCACCTGTCCATCCAAAATTTAGCTTGCATACACTATTAATGTTCCACATCATACCTGTTGGTATATGATGTATTACGCGAAGCACTCCCCACCACAGGTTCGATAATCGACAGTTCACCCTTGGTTCCCATCCCTAAGCAGTCCGCCTTAGATACTTTCCCCTGAAAACTCGAGCACAAAGATTATCCTGCTCTGTGAATAAGCGCCATGCAATCTTCACCATGAACGCCTCATTCATTTTGGTAGCACATCTCAGGCCTAGGCCACCTTCCTCTTTCAGTTTGCATATCGTATCCTAGTCAACAAGGTGTATTTTCCGTCCCTGTTCTGAACTAACCCAGATTAAATCCCTTGTCTTCTTATCAATATAATCTCTCACAGCTGCTGATAGGAAAGACGTTTGCATGGTGTACGCAGGCAAGGATGACAGCCCTGACTAGGCTAGTGTAATCCTTCCCGCAAGATATAGGGATTGTACCTTCCAAATTGCAAGCCTTGAGTCGACTTTATCAATCAACTCCGTGTAGGTAGCCTTAGAAACCCTGTCATGTATTACTGGCACTCCCAAATATTGTCCCAAGTTTTCAGTTTCTGGGATGTCCAACGCAGCTCTCAGAGCAGCACTCTCATGGGCCCCCACATTCTTGGAGAAGAACACTCTCGATTTGGGCGACTAATTTGTTCCCCGGATGCTGCACTGAAGTCCTTGAGGCAAGTGAGGATCACTTGAACCTGCTCTACAGAAGCCACACTGAATAAAATAAGGTCATCAGCAAAACATAAGTGGGACAATCGAGGTCCATGTGACGATAACTTAATCGGCTGCCATGCTCCACTCTCCACCGCCAGTGATATCAAATGTCCCAACCTCTCAATACATATGGTGAAGATGTAAGGAGAGAGCGGGCAGCCTTGTCGCAAGCCCCTCGAAGGATGGAAAGCATCTATGAGACCACAGTTCCACTGAATCTGCATTATGGCGAAAGAAATGCAGGCATGCAGCCCATGGTAATGTCAATAAAGCATTACGGTGCTCCTGCTGTCTCTAGAGTATCACTGAAAAAACTCCATTTGATTCGGTCGTAAGCTTTGGCAAGGTCAATCTTCAAGACCATCCCCCCTTTCTTGCCCTGCTTTGCCCGCATTGAGTGAACAAATTCCTGCAAAATGCAAATATTATCAGTAATTTGACGCCCTGGTACGAAGCTCGCTTGTGTCTCATGCACTAGGCAGGGGATCAGTGGCTTGATCCTCTCTGCCAAACACTTAGTAATCATATTGTACGTTACATTACTCGATCAAGGATGGCTTTGGGACTTTGGGTATCACTGAAATAATAGTATCATTAATGGCTTCAATGCGTTCCGGCGCCAGCCAACAATCTTGAACAAAATGTATCACTTTTTCTCCCACAACATCCCAACACCGCTGATAAAATAAAGGGTTTAGTCCATCTTTACCCGGTGCTTTCAACGGTCCCATAGACTTCATAACATGGAAAATTTCCTCTCCTGTGAGCTGTACATCTAGCGTTGGCCTCAAATTCTCCAGTATTGCATCAAAAGCAGCCTGGATTGAAGGCAAATCCGAGTCATCATCCGTATAAAGAGCTGTGAAAAATTCTCGGGCAAGTTCTAGGAGGAGAGTCTGGTCTTCAATCCATTCCCCCGCCACTTTTTTAAAGCACAGACCCTATTTCGCCGCCGTTGATTTATTGTCCTAGAGTGAAAATACTTAGTATTTTTGTCTCCCGAAGATATCCACTCCAAGCTTGATTTCTGACACCAGAGTATCTCTTCTTGAAAAAGAACCTCTTGCGATTGGTCGGAGCTCAGGGTGAAATCCGGGATATCACATATCTTGAGTATGAAAATGCTATCCAAACCTTGAATTGACTGATCTTTCGGACATGATACTATACTCAAACTCTTAAAGATCAAAATCTAGGTCTTAATTCTCTAAATCTTTAACCCCAAGATCATTTCAATTAGAAACAATAATCGACGGTTATGATTCGTCCAAATATAGATAAAAAAATGAATGCAGCATCTTAGGGTTTATAGTTTATGATTTAGATAATTAGGACTTAGGGTTCACTTATTAAGGGTTAGGGAATAGTATCATGCCCAAAAATTCTGCTTCGAGATCTAGATAGCTTTTTCATCCTCAAGGTATGTCGTAACCTAGATTTCATCCGGGATTCCGTAGAAGGCACCATATGTATATATATATACCAAATGCTAGCACGCACTATTAGATGTAGTTTGACAAATCTGAATTATTATTTATTTTTTAATTAAATTGATCTTATTGTTTGAGTTTAGAGAATTATGAACTATATTTTCCATACACCAGAGAAATAGTATAGTATCATGCCTCAAACTGCAAATGCTAATTAATTTATAATATATATAGTAAAACTCACTAAGACCATCAGCAACTATAAAATAAATTATTTTTTCATATGTGGTCTGTACTCCCACCTCGTCAGTTTTTATAATTATACTAAGTATCAGTTTCATTTACTCTGCATCATCAATGAAATCTAAATTCAATTTCTTATGGCTAGTCAATTTGTATTTTATAATACAACTCAATCACTTGTCCAAGTCATAATACAAAAGAAAACGAAATAACAAAAAATAAAGGGAAGAGTGAAATCCTTGGAGTAGATCCACTTTGGATCTTTTATATTGTTTTCGAAAGATGAATAACAAATCACAACAATGAAATGAAAAATGTCATATCACAATGAAAAAGCGAAAAGACATCCATTATTGTAGATGTTTTACATGTATACGAAAACATCAAGATACACCATAGTAAAACTAAAATCTCTTTGGAAATTAGCTGGTGGTTTGGTTTTGACAATACTTAAATTAATGTATTGTGATGGATGCGCGTATTGTAATATACATGCCATTAAGAAAATGATGTAATGTACTTTGCATTGTTTTGTTTTGGTGATACTGTGATAGTTCTTTTATTATTTGTGTGAAATACTTTGGCTCAAATATTAAATTAATGCGCATTTTGAAGTTAACGATGCCGCGAATTCAACAACATCGCAGTGGTCAGCGGTGCCTCAAGGACAGTGGCATTCAACAACGTTGTAGATCCAACAACTTCGCGAGCTGACCGGGGTTGTGAGATTTACAATGTAGCAGAGCTCAATGATGTCGCGAGCTTGGTGATGTCGCCGAGCAAAGCTGCGAG